CTTTGTGAACCTCCAGGTGCAGATTTCGTGGCAGGCACAGCACTTTGTGAACCTCCATGTGCAGATTTCGTGGCAGGCACAGCACTTTGTCAGCCTCCATGTGCAGATTTCGTGGCAGGCGAAGCACTTTGTGAAGCTCCATGTGCAAATTTCGTGGCAGGTGCAGCACGTTGTGAACTTCGAGGTGCAGATGTCGGGGCAGGCGCAGCACTTTGTGAACCTCCATGTGCAGATTTCGTGGCAGGCAAAGCACTTTGTGAACCTCCATGTGCAGATTTCGTGGCAGGCGCAGCACTTTGTGAACCTCGAGGTGCAGATTTCGTGGCAGGCGCAGCACTTTGTGAACCTGCATGTGCAGATTTCGTGGCAGGCACAGCACTTTGTGAACCTCCATGCGCAGATTTCGTGGCAGGTGCAGCACTTTGTGAACCTCCATGCGCGGATTTCGTGGCAGGCGCAGCACTTTGTGCACCTCCATGTGCAGACTTCGTGGCAGGCACAGCATCTTCTGGGGAGCTGGAAGCTGAGAACTGGCGACTTTGTAGTACAACTTTAGTATGCGGAGTAATCTGGCGAGGTGGAGGCTGAGAACTGGCGACTTTGTAGTACAACTTTAGTGTATACGCGGAGTAATCTGGCGAGGTGGAGGCTGAGAACTGGCAAACTTGTACTGCAACTGTAGTACGCGCAGCGATCTGTGGAGCTGGAAGATGAGAACTGGCGACTTTGTAGTACAACTTTAGTGCGCGGAGCAATCTGTGGAGCTGGAAGCTGAGAAAGCTCAGAACTGGCGACTTTGTAGTGCAACTTTAGTACGCGGAGTATCTGGGGAGCTGGAAGCTGAGAACTGGCGACTTTGTAGTACAACTTTAGTACGCGGAGTATCTGTGGAGCTGGAAGCTGATAACTGGCGACTTTGTAGTACAACTCTAGTACGCGGAGCAAGCCGTGGAGCTGGAAGCTGAGAACTGGCGACTTTGTAGTACTACTTTAGTACGCGGCTGAGTCATCTCTATTCTGTGTTTTGCAAAAATGCATGAACAACGGTTATTCCTGCGAGACAGTTGACGGTGGTTGCTTCGCTTTCGCTCCATTGGTCGGTTCCAACTTGTTTTGTCAAAGAACATCGCAGCTCGGCGAATCAGCCTGCCACATGCCCAACTCCTATAGGTTTATTCTTTTGGAAACTTCCGCCGCCGGCTTGCCCGGGAACTACTTGTAGATGGCGCAACTGGTCTTTGGATTGCAGAAATTTAAAATTATGCGGGATGTTTGTGCGGATACTAGTTTTCTCTAACGTTTGATGGCCCAATGACAATGGCCAAGTTCTGTACATTTGGCCTGCCGGCTGCAATCTGGCTATAATGTGAAGAAGAGTGTTACAGTAAATACTGTAAACATCTGGAAAAGTCAGTGTTACAGTATTACCGGAAATGAAAGTACAGTGCCAGTTGCAGTCTTGCATCATGCAACTGTTTGGCGTTTTCCTCAGCAGCATAGGTGCTTCAAAAGAAACATGTTTGTCACGCCAGGGGAGCAGTAAATGAGCCTCTTGAAAGGGGATCCCATGAAGTCGAATTTTAGACATCCATATAGTTTGTCACACCCATACTGATTCCTTTCCTTTTGATTCTTTTTGGTTTCCTTTTGATTTTTTTAAATTTCTCTTTGACGTCCTTTTGATTCCTTTTGATACTGTGATTTCCTCTTACGGAGGCCCATAAGATGGAACGGTCCCAATCTCCGCTATTTTCCGCAGAATAGTGCGCACACAAAATCATGGAGAACCTTCCTGTCTTTTAGTCACGGGGCGCAACACACCTGAATGCCCCTGATACCTAAACCTGGCGCAATAAAAAAATACTTCATCAATTTTCTCATTGGAGTAATCGTGGTCGTAGAGCAAAATTATCTTCCACAGGCCTACGTTCCACTTCCATGATTGTTTCAGGGAGTGCATTTTCGGGATGGAATTGGACGTGGATCAGCTAAATATTGAAAGTGGTGCTCCGCCGTTTTTTCTGCTTCCTGCCGAGTAGCCTGGATAAGGATAGATACACCCCCTTGCCCCCTTGCTGCATTCCGAATAAGAACATGTGCCCATTCCTCCAAACGAACACTGATTCTCACACCGTCCAACCCCATTCCGCCCCTTCCATGGCCGAAACCGCAGTGACCGAGCTGCTCGAAATTCTCCGCATAGTCATGCGCCTGAGAGCCTTCGCTCGCACTCACCTGGGCATCCGTGCGACATGCGGACCTGTAGACCCATGAAAGGAGAGGGCCCCAGTCCCACAGCACCAAGAGATAGACTTTGATCAACAGGCTTGTCCCTAGGGGTCATGGGTGAGACGTGTCACGTGATCAACATCACATCAGAAGCTGGCTCCTTCCACACTTCATGAGATCTGGGTGATGCATGCATGGGGGCCCAAGCAACGCCGTTTCGTTCCCTCGTTGGGAACGCACGTTCATCTAGAACGACAAGGGACCTTGCGTCTCTGCGGATTTGCAGGTTAGCTTTTGCCACCTAGGACCTAGGGCAATCCTATTGGGAGAAGACATCGCGGGAGGTCCTTTGATTGCATCAAACTTTGCTAAAGCGATGTTTTGCTCACTTGGAGACTGGAAGGGCAATGCGCTCTTTAGTATATGGATCATATACATGACCGTTTGCTTTGGCACTTTGAACTTTCG